GAATCTTCTCTCTTCTTTTAGGAGCTACCAGTTGATGGTCTCTTTTCTGGGCTCTTATGTCATTCTCAGAATGTATCCATCTCCTCAATGTCCAGTATCTTGTCTTCTGTGGAGAAGGGGAACTCCATTTTCCCTCAGTTCTAGGAGGTGGCCTGTCATACTAGATGTTGAGTGGATGTTTGCAGAATGAATGGTTGGTGGTCATTGGGGCAGAGCAGGACCCAGTCTGCCACTCCATGACCATCTCCTGTCTTATCCCATCTCCCAGGTCTCCTTGTTCGGTTTTGGGACAGACAATCTCAAAAGACGGTCTCATTACTGGAACGATAAATATCAATCCATGAACATCATGCACAGTGCGCAAGCAGAGTACAAAGTTATCCTTCGGCTGCAGTGTGAAGGAAAGGTGGTCATCTACAACTGAGATTGCCCTCAGCCTGTCCAGCCCACGGAGGCCCCAGCAGGCTGATAGTTAAGGGGGACGCGGAGTGTCAGGGAGGGACTGGGCTTCAAGTGGAAAAGGACTCTGGATGGAGATAATTGTTACTGAATAAAACCCTACCTTGTTTTTCTCTCTGGATTCCTTGTGGCATTGAAGGGCTAAACTCTACTCCAGTTTCTCAACAACAAACTTATCACCATGTCAAAAAGAAACAAGATCCAATACCACTTGTTATTTCTTTGGAATATGTTTTTCTAATTGAAAATCAACCAGTATTTCTGATTTAAGGGGGCACAGTGAGCACCTGTGTTTATAATCTTCCCTTGACCTTAGAGGAGGTGCTCTGGTGGCACAGTGGTTAAAGTATTTGGCTGCTAACCAAAAGACTGATGATTTGAACCTATCAGCCTCTTCATGGGAGAAGATGAGGCAGTCTGCTTCTGTAAAGATTTGAAGCCTTAGCAACCCTGTGGTGGAACTCAGTTCTGTCCTATAGGGTTGCTATAAGTTGGAACTGACTCGATGGGAGTGGATTTTTGGTTGACCTTAGAGACCTCAATGAAATGACAGGTTATGCCCTCTTATAAAAATTGTTCTCTCTTATATTTTGAGGAAGTTGCCAGCTATAGGTCTTAAGCCTGTCAGCTGGGTTCAGTTGACTGCCTTCGTCACTGCCAGTGCTTAAGTGACAAGTTCTATCACAGTCCATCCTCTTGACTGGCTTGATGCATGGTTGAACTACAAAGGACCAGAGTCAGTTCAAGTTGACAGACCCAGAAAGGGACCCCTCAAGGGCATTCACCCAGAGCAGAAGATGAATGAGGCAATATGGGAAGGTCTGAACATCAGAGACTCTGACTTTAGCCAGAGGTCAACTCAATGCTCTTGAGGCCCCAGAACTTGTTTTAAGGCAAGAACTTTTGATGTTTCCCCATAACTCATGAGTTCAAATTGAGGTTCAAGGCTCTCCACAATCTCCCTTCCCACACACCCAACCTCAGTCCAACAGAAACACTACAGACAGCCCGGTCTTCTCTGACATGTTTCAGCACTTCTCCCAACTCCTCTCTATTCTTTGAGGGCCACTTCATGCCTCCTTTCCCCAGTCTCTTGGAATTTCTACACTGGTAGTCAGTGCACAGAATTGTCTCTGACTTATTAATGAGTTAGTCTATTATTATCAATTAGACTGCAACCTCTCTGCGGACAGGGGCTTTTTATTGCGTTTCTTCTGAAACTCTAGCAGAGTACCAACATCCAAATATTCATGCCACCTAACAGGAATCTGGCAAATTCTTCATCAGTAAATGCCAGTGATGTGCTGCTGCTGCCCAGAGGCATGAGTACAGGGAGGAGCAGACAGATGCAAAGACCAGGGTTTATTGTTGAAGGGGAAGGGAAGAAGAGGGTGGAATGCTGGGATAGTCAGTTCTAGCCGAGAGGCAGGGCAAGGCCCTCCTCTGGGTGCCCACGCAGGCTAGCAGATGACTGTGATTCACCTCATTCACATGTCAGCTGGGCTCTACCCAGACTCCCCTTCTCTGTTCCTGACAATGTCAGCTGTCCCGGGGCTCCCAGGTTGGGCAACAAAGCCAGACTCTCCTTTGGCAAACCTATAGTTGTGTCTCTGGCCCATAACCCACCTGACGATGATCATCTGCCTATCTGTGTGCTCCAGGTTGGCCTGTGTCCTGCCCTGGCTGTGGCTGCTATCTGGAGGTGGCTTGGGCAGCACTAGGGCTGGGGCTGGGGCTGGGGCTGGGGTGTAGTAGGATTGGCCCTGGGGATGTCAGGCTTTGGGTCAGGGACTCATCCAGCTTGCGGGTCTCAGCCTCCAGGACAGTGGCCTCAGGGGCCTGGGCCACAGCGAGGAGTGAGTGGGAGAGGTTGTGGTGCAGGCCTGCTAGCTCTCGGCTGGTCTGCACTGAGCGAGCGATGTAGTCCTGTTTCTGCTTCCGCTCTAAGGCCAGCTGGGCTCGCAGCAGGGCCACCTGGTGGCAGAAGAACCGAGAGGGAGAGAGGAGCTGAAGGTCTCAAAGCTGCCCCAACACTTCTGTTCTGTGCTCCTGTGGCTCTTGTTGGATCAGCATTTGAATCAACTCTATCACACACACAAATCTCAGAGTGTGTGGGGGAAGGGCCTCTAGTAACCAGAGAGAATCCAGTGATTCTCAACCCTTACTGCACGTAAGACTCAAATGGGAAGCTTTAAGAATATATAACAAAACTATTTTCATCAACTTTATTGAGGGTTAATGTAACAAAATATCAAGATTTAAGTACAGGTAGTCCCCAACTTACGATGTATTTGAGTTACAACGAACTGCACTTATAGTGGAACAGAACCCCATCGTGAGTCAAGGTCTATCTGTACTATGTACAGTGTTGCAGCTTATGTATGTTTACCTGTAATGTCTCCAATTCCCAAAGATCAGATTTATAAAGATACTGATAAAAAAAGGCAGTAACGATGAAAACTAAAAAAAAAAAAAAGAAAGAAAAGGAGGTATCTGATTTACATGAGAACCATCTTGTAACAGTCATCAAAATGGAACCCTGTCGTAAGTCAGGGACTACCTGTATACAATTTGATGAGTTTGATAGTGTCCATACCATGTAGCCACCATCCCAATCAAGACAGGGAACATTTTAATCACTGCAGAGAGTTCCCTCATGCCCCTTCTGGGAGCTTTTAAAAACTATTCTGGTTTATTAGACTGGGATGAGGCCTGGGCATCAGTACTTTTTTCAAACTTCCCAGGTGGTACAGCCAGGGTTGAGAATCACCAGTCAGCCTTTCCATTTTTCGGATGGGTAGACTGAGAACACCAGAGGGTGGAGTTATTGGAACTTTACAGCAGTTCTGGGACTAGAGTGAGACAAGAGACACCCAGGGAGTAAAATGCAAGGAGATAGGCTGGATTAGGAGTGGCTGCTCCTTAAATTTTACACCTTAGGTGCCTGCCTTGCTTCACCCTAGTCTTGGCCCTGTCTCAGGAATTGCTTTTCATGAGTTTAAGAGTTCAAAGTAATAATTTTGGTCTAGCTATATACTCAAGCCCTGCCAGGAGTGACCATTGGTTTCTGAACTAGGCTCAGAAATCAAGATTTCACAGTTCTTGTTACCCCTGGGCCTTGAAAGACAGGGTGAATGGCTGGGTGAGACCCAGGAGGTAAGAAGGCACTTTATATAGTTCCCTTGAGTGTGGCCTGTGACCTGGGCTATGGGCCGTGGATCACGGTCCTGGTGCCAGGCTACTCTGCTGCTGTGCTGGCAACAGCCTTGCCTGCAATGGTGCATTTGGAGGCAGAGGAGCCCGGAAAAATTCTGCTGGTTTTAATCTGCCCTAGAATCTTCTGTCTGCTCCCCAGCCTTCCTCCTTTTCCTTTTCCTTCCTAAGTATGAATCTGTAGCCTGGGGTCTAGATCATGCTTTCTTTCCCACTCCCATCCTCTAAATTGGGATTAGGGCTTTTTGTCTCCCCACATAGACTGAAATTCTCTGAAGGCAGGTGCTCTCCCCCTCTCCCTGTGGAGGTGCATACAGGGCCAAGTACATACAGACACTAAAGCCTTGTTCCCTGAGTCCAAGGGAGGGTAAAAAGGACTTAGAAAACGGATCCTTCCAGAATATACCTCTTTCTGCAGTTCAGCCATATGCTTGGCATCGGAGGAGCCCTTCTGTCCTATTCCATCCTGTGGAAGATAAATACCATTCTTATTGGAACACTTTCCCACTCTGGAGTTTCTGCAGGCATCCTCTAATCATCTCATCCCAATTTTAGAGGCCCGGCAAGAGCTACAGGTAGAAGTGCCTGAAATCAGACTGAACTTCAATGGGGCACAAGGCCACGGTGCAAGGAGAGGCCTTGGAGGGCCAATGCCAGCCTAATGGGCAATGCTCACGGAGACTTGATGCTGACCATCAAAAAGGCCTAGGTGGCATCTGCTTCTCTGAAGCACTTTTTCATTTAATAGATGTATAACATATATCTATATTGTGCTAGCTCTGGCCTGTGAGCTGAGGATGCAGAAAGGAAGTCAGACAAGGGGTCTGCCCTTGGGAAGCTCTCACTTAAAGGAATGTGGGAGGAGAGCTGGGACATGCTCAGCCACCAGAAACAGTCCCTCCCTGCCAGGCTGCAGGGCTGTGCATACTGACGGACATACATAAACAAAAAGAGTACTGGTTTGGGGGCAGTCTTTCATGAACCTTTTACCTAAAAAGAGGACTAAAGTCCTAGGAAATACCACAGAGCACAGTTCTATAAACTCAATATTGCAAGGGGAAAGGAGGTCTAAATGACCTGCAAAGCCACCATCAAGCTCCTAGGCACATCAACAGCTGGCAGGCACCACACACCTATGTCGGGGATTCTGACTTGTTTCTGGGGAGCTCAAGACTCTGGCTGGGAGGCAGCAGGCAGATTGTATTTCAGTGAAGGTTTTCAGAGTTCCTCAGAAAGCAGGGCTGCTAGCCTTAACTCCACCCCCACAGGTTGAAGCTGGGCTTCCTCCCCCGGTCCAGTTAGGAAGAGCTCGGTGTATTGGTTGAATTAGAGGTCTCCCCTCCATGGGTGGCCTGGGGCTGAGTTTCTGGGTGGCCGGGGTTGGGTGCTCCTGAGATAGCAAACCTGCTGTGTAGGCGGTGGTGCTGTGGCTTCGCTGATCTCCAGGACCCCAGCCCGGGAAGCACGCATGGAGTCCCTCTTCAGTTTCCTCCGCTCTCGCTCCACCTGCCCAGAAGCCAGTGAGAAATCAGGGCTTGGTTTGGCTCTGGGGCGAGAGAATCATCTCTCAAGAGAGGGGACAGTAGTCATGGGAACGTAAACTCCTGGGCTGAGAGGAGCGCATACTAGGGCAGTCCCAAGTGCAAAGAGGTGTTCCTGGGGCAGGGGGTTAGCTTCTCAAGGTCAAGTATGCAAGGGTCAGCACACTTTTTCTGCAGTAAATATCTTAGGCTTTATGGGCCATTCAGCCTCTGTGAAACTATTCAACTCTGCTGTTGTAGCAGGAAAGAAGAATGGCATGGCTGGATCCCAATAAAACTTTATTTTCAAAAACAAGCAAGTGGTTGATTTGGCCTGTGGGCCATCGTCGTTTGCTGACTCCTGTTCTAAAGGTTGCAAGAGAAGTAGAGGAGGGAGCTGGGGACAATGGAAGTTTCTCACCTGCTCCAAGGTGGTCCGCAGCTGGACATTGTGGCGCTGCAGCCTGCTCCGGTCAACCTCCAACCATGCCACCGCTTGCTGCAGGTGCTCAAGCCTCAGTCTCTGCTTCTCCTCCATCCCAGAACTAGGCTCAGCCTCCACTCCTGAGACCTGCAGGAAACGTGTGACTCACACCCGGGCAGCCCCTCAGACAGGTGGGGAACAGACAAAGGCACAGGTCGTAATCTGTCAGGCCTGGTCTCTAGGGATGCAACTCCCAAGGGAAGAGGACAAGCTCCTAGATAGGATGCCATGCTGGACCATCTGCTCCCACAGGGCCCCCCGCTCACCACTCCTGGCTGTACAGTCTGCTCCCTTCTGAGCCCCTGTTCGGCTCTTCTGGCTGAGCCTGGGCTGAATAGCTGCTGCTTCTCCAGAGCTTGTCTGGTGAGGTCCAACTCATCCTGGGGTATTGAGGTGTACAACAGAATCATACCATGCCAACCTCATATCCAGGCCCTCCTTACCCTCCATCCTCATAAAAGCCAGTTCACTCTTCTCATCAGGTTGGAGTCTTATTTTTCTGAGGGTCTCTGAGCTATTCTACTCCAAAACCTTCATTTTACAGATGGGTAAAGCAAAGAGTCAGAGAGGAATCTACCCAAGGGTACAGGGTGAGTGAGTGAGCGAGCGAGGAAGGAAGATAGGGCTGGAAGCCCGGTCTGCTGAGACGTCCCATAAAACGAAGTGATAATTAGCTACTCAGAGGTACTAAGCAGAGAGCATGGACTCTGGAGTCACACAGACCTGGGTGTTATGTCACCACGTACTGGCCATGTGACCTCAGTGAAGATATGAGCTCTCTGCAAACCCTAACTTCCTCATTTGTAAAATGATTACATCCTCTATGAAGCGTGGATCGAGTCTTAGGGGATTAAATTCTTTAGATAAATGGAGAAACCTAATGTTATATATTTTCTAGGTACGCTATGTTTCATAAATGGTAATGGACAAGAAGAGAGACAGACGAAAGAAAGTGCACATGTGTAGGTGGATGCTGTTTGGGAGAGAAGGGGAGCTCAGTGGTAAAACAGGCTAGGCTCAGGAATCAGGTTAAGACTCAAACTCACTGCCATTGAGTCGGCAGATCTGACTCACAGCGACCCCTCCTTGGGTTGTGAGGCAGTATCACTATGGAAGTAGATTGCCCAATCTTCCTTCCGAGGAGTGGCTGGTGGATTTGAACCACCAGCTCTCTGGTTAATAGTCAAATGACCTAGGCACTATGCCATCAGAGCTCCTAGGAGTCAGATGCTGAAGTCTAATTCTACTTTTGCCATTTGCTAGTTATATGGTCTTGGGCAAGTTACTTCTCTAAGTCTCCATTCCTCAAGCAGCATAAAATGAGGATAATATCAGTTCCTTCTTTTCAGTGTTAATGTGGAAGAAAGTGAGAGTATACAGTACCTGGCATGTAAAATGCTTTTGAAAAACTGGCACTGCTATGGAAGCACTTACTATTGAAGATCAAAGATGACAGCCTTCACTGTGGACTATATCTCAACATAAAGAAAACAAAAATCATCACAACTGGACCAGTAAGGATCCACAATCAACATCCATGGACATAGCCATCAAGAAATCAAACAATGTATTGCTTTGGGTAAATCTGCTGCAAAAAACCTCCTTAAAGTGTTGAAAAGCAAAGATGTCACTTTGAGGACTAAAGTGCAACTGACCCATGCCATGGTATTTTCAATCGCCTCATGTACATGCGAAAGGTGGACAACGAATAAGGAAGACTGAAGAAGAATCGATGCATTTGAATTATGGCATTGGTGAAGAAATTGACTATACCAAGGGCTTCTGGAAGAACAAACATATCTATCTTGGAAGAAGTCAGCTGGAATGCCGCTCAGAAGAAAGGAAGGTGGGACTTTGTCTCATGTACTTTGGATATATTATCAGAAGGGATCAGTCCCTGGACAAGGACATCATGCTTGGTAAAGTGAAAGGTCAGCAAAACAGAGGATGACCTCACCAAGACGGACTGACACAGTGGCTGCAACAATGGGCTCAAGCACAGTAACAATGACAAGGACGGCACAGGACCGAGCAGTGTGTCGCTGTTGGACACAGAGTCGCTATGAGTAGGAACTGACTTGATGGCCCCTAACGATAATGACAACTACAATGAGGGACTGCATCTGAAAGAAGCCCTTGAATGTTTGGTGGGCAGTGCAGTGACCTTGATCCAAGCTACATTATTTAGTGACCATTCACTGCTCAGTAACCTAAGAGGGACAGAAAGTTCCCTGTAAGAGTTGGTCTGGAAACAGGAAAAGAGTTCCACTTATTAATGGCTTCCTACATCTCTAAACGAAGCACTCTGTATATGTTATACTTCATACTCAAAATGACCCAATGGGAATGGTGTTAATGATGTTTGAAGGATGACAAAACCAAAGATCAGGTAATGAAGGCAGTTGCTCAGGGTCACACAACTAATAAATTGCATAAGTGTAATTTCAAACCCAGGAATTTGACTCCAAAGTTCATATATTTAATTCCTTCTCTGGACATTGTCCGTTATCAAGAGTAGAGCTTTGTGAGTTCCCAGGAGAGTCCCTGCAGGTTGTGTGTCTGAGATGAGGGTGGGGGCCCTTTGGAGATGAGTCAAAGTCAAAAGACCAAGATGTAAGTCAATTCTCCTGGAAAAATGGGCTAGGTTCGTCTTGGCAAAAGAGCCCATGCCTATCTATGTCCATCAGTCAACCGAGCTTTCCCAATTGCCTACTATATAGGTCTTGTAGGAGCTCTGGTAGCATAGTGCCTAAGGCACTTGACTGCTAACCAGAAGGCTGGTAGTTCAAACCCACCAGCCACTCCTTGGAAGGAAGGTTGGGCAATCTACGTCCATAGTGATACTGCCTTGGAAACCCAAGGAGGGGTTGTTATGAGTTGGGTCTGACTCAATGGCACATAACAACCAAACAACATAGGTCTTGTGCTTACTGCTGGGGTATACAGTGAGAGTATACATGATGACTAAGACATGGTACCTGACCTAGAGGTTAAAGGTTACACTCCAAGCCCATTTCTTTCTCAATTGTCATTCTACCCAGAGAAGCTCCCTTCTTCTTCTTCTTTTTTTTTAAAATTGTGATTCGGGTGGAAATTTGCAGAGCAAATTCACTTTCTATACAGCAGTTCACATACACTTTGTCTCATGACATTGACCACAATTCACCACAATGCAACAGCTCCCCTCCCACTTCCTCCTGATAGTCACCTCTTCCCTGTGTCCATCCCTCCATGCACTCCTGCCCCCTGAGCTGTCTCCCTGTGCATACACAGCCCTTCTATTCTCCCATGATTGTTATCTCCAAGGAGTGTAAAGGTTCACCTTGTATATCTGTCTTGTTTGGCTAGAAGCCACAGGGAAGCCCACTTATTCTTAACTGCTGATGACTCCAAAGCTGTCTCTAGACCCTACCTCATCTTTGAACTCCAGACCACTTCATGAATCTGCCTTGCATGTCCCACAGATACCTCACTCTATTTCCAACCAGAATTCATCATCCCTGTCTTCTTCCCTACATCTGTTTTTCCTCATCTCAGTGAACTGTACTATCATCAAGTCAGCTGCTCTAACCAGAAACCTGAGTTTTGTCTTTGACATCTTCCAGCCCTTCCTTTACTTCCCCTACCTCATGGTCAATCAATTTTCAGAAGGCAATTGAACCTCTGAAATATACCCATGAATCCAGCTCCTGCTGTATCCTGGGCCCTATCACACTCTTAACTATCTTAGGTCACCACCTCATCCTGGGACTTATATTACAGCCTCCTAGTTGGTGTCCCCAGATCAACTGTTTGTCCCACATGAGTCAGGGAGGGAGCCAGGGTGATCTTTCCTCTGAATTGCCCCCTGTCCAAACCCCTCCACCTGCTTCCCACTGGTCACCCAGGTTCCTCAGCATGACTTATAAGCTCTGAATGATGAGGCACCTGCTGTCCTTTCTTCTCTTGGCAACTCCCTCATCTATGTTCCAGGCAGTCTAAACCACCTACACAGATGCTCTCTGCACTCCCTCCTCCTTTTACTTCTTGCCCAGAAAGCTCATCCCTCGTATGTGCTAGGCTAATTCCTTACTGGTCCCCTCAGATCTAATCTTAAATGTCACTTTTACCAGGACCTACACCCAGGAAAGTTTAGGTGTCCCTCCAGTGTACTCAGCACAGTGAACTTCCCTTTGAGGCACCCATGACACTGCATGTAACTGCTTATCCACCAGACTGTAAGCTCTGGGAGGGCAGGGACTAGCACAGTATCTGAGTTCCATTTATATCATGGTGCTTCTGATCTCAACTTTCTCATACCTGTAAGGTGCCACAGGGCCCACCACGGCAGCTGCCCCTGAGCTCAGCCAGATGAGCTCTGCCCACAGAGGCCTTACACTTCTGCAGTGACTCACCTGAAGCTTCTGCTGCTCTGAGTCCCGCTCCAGGATAGAGGCTTGGAGGAACGTGGCCACCTCTTGCAGACTGCTGATGCTGGCCCTGCTCTGGGCCAGGGACAATGCTAAGTCCTGGGCCTTCTCTCTCCACTCAATCTCCCTGGCCTCTGTCTGCCTCAGGGCTCCCTGTAGTCGCTCCAGCTCCTGCTGCATCCTGGGGCCTAAAGAATCGTATGTTGGAGAGGGTGCCTCCCCTGGGGAGGCTTGGTGGCTTTGAGGTGAGTCCTCCAGGTTCCTCTTTTGCTGAGTTTCTCTCAGCATCAAGATCTCCTCTTCCTTTTGGGCTAGAGTCAGCTGGAGCTCCCTTAGATTCTCACGAAGGTCTCTCATCTCTTCCTCTTCTTTCCCCTGCCTCCCTTGGATCACATCTTCTTGGTCCCTCTGGGCCAGAAACTTTTCCAGCAGCTGCCCCTGTTCCTTCTGATGTCTCAGCTCTTCATCTTTCTGGGCAAGTGCCTGTTGGAGCTGCTGCAAGGCCTCCTGGTGCTGGAAATTCTGGTCCTGGATCGCACCTTCCTGCATGCTGAGGGCCTCCTCCAGCTGCTGGGTTTGTGCCCGGCAGGAGTCCAGGGCAGCCTGCAGAGTGGTAGTGCTGGCCTCCAGGCTGCAATTCAACTCTGCCTGCCCAAGGAGACGCTGCTCTTTCTCTTGCAGGGCTGCCCGCGCCTTGTGTAGGGCCTCCTGGAGAGCCTCTACCTGGTCCCGAGCAGCCTCCTCCCGATGCTGGCAGGACTGGCTATCTGCCCGCAGGGCCTCCAGCTCCTGGTCCCGTTCCTTGAGCATTGCCTCTGCCTGCAGCCAACTGTCCTGCAGGGCCCTGGCCTCCACCTCATGCTCCTGTGCCCGCTCGGCACACTGTTGCTGGAGGGCCAGCAGGGCTTTCTCCTGCTCCTGAGACTCAGCCCTCAGGTCACTCAACACCTCCTCCAGAGCCTGGACCCTCTTTCCCTCCACCGCCAGATCTTCCTGGAGCCTTCGCACCTGCTCCTTGTGGTCTTCAAGCTCTTCCTGGTGCTCCTTCAGTGTCACATGGGCCTGCTCCAAAGCTCCCTGGAGTGTGCTCACCTGTTCCTTCATACTCTCCTCCCGCCCCTGAGCCTGCCGCTGTTGCTGCTGCAGGGCCTCCAGCTCCTGCTTCCTCTGGACCAAGGCACTCTGGGCCTCTTCCAGTTGACCCTGAAGTGAGCGCTCCTTCAGCTCCCCTTGGTCCCTGGCTTCCTGCAGGTGCCGCTGCAGGACCACCATCTCTTGCTCTCGCTGTGTCAGGAGCAGGCTGGCCTCACTCATCTTCCTGTGTAAGGCCCGGAGCTGCTGCCCCAGCTGGTCCTCGTGCTCCTGAAGTTCCTGGATATGCTCCTGCTGACACTCCACCTCCTTCTCCTTATCGCGCAGAATCAGCTTCATGTGTTCTAGGCTCCCGCGCTGCGCCTTTCTCTGGCCCTTCCCCTCCTCTGCCCGCTCCTGCATGTGCGGCTTCGGAGAGGCCAGCTCCCGGTCTCGCTCCCTCAAGGACAGCTTGATCTGTTCCAGGTCCTCCTCCAGGATCTTGGTCTGCAGCGTCCTCTGATCTTCCAGGACCTGAATCCTTTCCTTCTGGAGCCTCAGCTCCTGGTCCTTCTTCTCGAGATCCTGGGTCAGACGCTCCTTCTGGCTTTGCAGCACCTCGATCTGTTCCTGCTGGCACTTCACCTCCTGGTCCCTCTCCTGGAGCTCCCCTGCCAGAAGGGTGCTGTGGCTCTCCAGTTCACGGATCTGGCTGCTTTGGGCCTGCAGCTCTTGACCCCGTTCCTCCAGGTCCAAGGTCATGTGAGTCAGAGTCACCCTCTGCATTTCCCCCTGGCCCTCTAGCTCCTCAATTGCCTTTTGCTGGCATTCCATTTTGTGATGGTTTTCTTCCAGTTCCAGGGCCAGGCACTCCAGAGTAACCAACTGTTTTTTCAGATCCTGTATCTGGCCTCTCTGGGACTCAATCACTTGGGCCTTCTTCTCAAGTTCTAGAAGCTGATGCTCCAAGATGTTGCGCTGAGTCTCCCGGTCTTTCTCGAGCTCTTTGATCTGCTCCCTCTGCACAGACAGCTTCTGCTCTCGCTCTTGGACGGCCATGGGCAGATGCTCTAAAACGGACCTGCATCTCTCTAGCTCCTGAATCTGTTCTTGCTGCAGATCCACCTCTTGGTTCCTCGTCTTTAGATCCAGAGACAGCACTTCCAGAGCAGCCTTCTGCATTTCCCGTTGCGTCTCCAACTCCTGGATTTTCCCCCGTAAAGCCTTCACCTCCTCTTCTCTTTCAGATAGGGCCTGGGCCAGGACAGCCAGATTCTCTTGCAAAGCCTTCCCTTGGGCCACCTTCAGCTCACCCTGCTCTTGCAGAGCCTGGGCTCTCTCCCGCTCACTCTCTACCTCTTCATTTTTCAGTTTCAGTGCTGAGCGGGCAGTTCTCAGGTCTTCTTCCAGGACCCCAGCAGCACTTGCCTGAGCCCTGGCTTCTGTGATAGATGCCTGCAGGTGTTCCACCTGGGCCGTCAGGTTCTCCTTGGCTGCCTGAAGGAGCTCTCGCTCATTCTGGAAAACAAGATGCAAAACCACCTGAGACTACGCTTCCCTGATACCCTCACTCCAGTGCAGGCTCTTCCCACATTTATTTTGTGGTACCAGCAGTGACAAAACCTTAGGCCAAAAGAACTGGTGCATTTCACTTAAGCTGACAGTGTAAAAGAGCATTTCTATCATGTTCCAGAGCTCTGCTATGCCCAGAGGATAAAAACTGGTGCAAAGGAGTCAGCTCCCACTCTGATCCTTCAGGGCAAGGAACAAAAATCTTTTTCCACTTTAAGTTAGAAAAAGTAACTAAAGGAGAATTCACTAGAGCCTTAATAATGGGTTTCAGAGACAAGGGGACAGCCAGAAGAACTGAGACACCTGGTGGAAGAATATAGGCACTGCATATAAATAGGGCATAACCGTAGGTGAAGGTGGGCCTGGGAGCTAGAAGCCCGGGCCCTGAGGCAATCCCCTCCCCCAAACCAGTGCCACCTTACCTGAGCTTCTATTCCCTGTAGTTGTGCTCGTTGTAGGCGACTTTGTAAGGATGCCACAGTTTCATGCAGTTCCATCAGCTCAGATTCGAGGGCGTTCTGTTTTCCTTCCCACTTGGATTTCTCTTTGGGAAAAGGAGAGGCAGTGAGGCAAGATTAGGGGCGGGGGAAAGAGGGATATGGAAGCAGACGGAAGATGGGGAAACAGTCTCAAATGGGAAGAGGGCCAAGAAGGGGAGCATTATATCCAGTTTTGTAGTCATCCCCCATCTGCCAGCTGCTCCTGTTTGTCTAGGTTCCCTGCTGCTTCCAGAGGCACCACTGCGATAATCATCCTAACACTTCCTCAACCAGACATGTAGATCCTCCACCCGGGGCTCCAGACAGGGTTGAGCAAGAAGACAATGGAGGTCCCTTCAAAATGTGATTCTGCTGAGGTTCCTAGAGTCATGGGTGCTCTGTTAGCTGCTCCCCATTCCTGGAACATGCATTATGTTCTCAACTATGACCTAAAATGATTAGTGTGTGATGAACGAATAGCCAGCTCTATCTGTGTGGCTCTCAGGGAGCCCACTGGGATGCTCTCACAGCTCAGAAACACTCTGCAAATTGTCTTCTCTTCTGCAGTAGAGCTTTGAGCCGCAAGACCCTCTCCTGTCCCATCCAAGCAGTCATTCTTTCTAGCCCTGGGCTGGGGCACAGATCCGTTCTCCCAGACTCCTCCTCTCCCAAACAAGCCTATAATCCTGTCATCAAAGGCTAATAATTTGGAAGACATAGCTGGAGATGATAAAAATAAGTAACCTGGACAAAGAATAAAAGATTCAGAATTTTATCATGTTCTCATAGCCCTGGCTCTGACTTTTAAATTTTTATTCATCTCTTCCAGAGACAGAAAATGCAAACCAGGCCAGCTCCTGCTCTCAGTACACCAAATCTGCACCCCCTAATCCCAACTTCCAGGGTAGCCCTGAAAGGCCAAGTAAAGCAGAAAAGCAGTTCAAGGGGGTCGTCACTCTTATTGAGTACAGAGAATGGCTACTAGGCTTGCTCCCACCACTTCTGGACTTCCTACCAAATCCCACTGCCTACCCTGAGCTTCTCACCTTCCTGGTTCTGGGAAAGCTGGCTCTGTAGCTCCTGCAAATCTGCGTGGATTTGGTTCTTCTCAGCCTCAGTAACAGTTAGACGCTGTTCCAGTTTCTGAGCCTGATCCCTCAGACCATCCTGGGAAAGAAAGGGCTAGACTCAAGTTCCTCCTCTTCCATAAAGCTGTCCCAGTCCCAGGCTCAAGCGCTCTCCTCATCTTCAGCCTTTGTGGTGGTTCTGCCACCACTGACCGACTTGCGCTCTCTGGTTCCCTGGAGTGAGGACAGGCTCTGCTCCAAATGGCTGGAGCCTAGACTCTTCTATCAAGCCTATGCCTTCTGAAACCGAACTCCTAATAAAATGTCTTAGCCCAAAGGTCACCTCTTCCTGCTCTAATTCCCTCCCAAGTTAGAACGAATTTCCCCTTCTTCCTAGTTCTAACAGGAGCTCTGGTAGCATAGTGCCTAAGGCACTTGACTGCTAACCAGAAAGCTGGAGGTTCAAACCTACCAGCCACTCCTCAGAAGGAAGGTTGGGCAATCTACTTCTGTAGTGATATCACCTCACCTTAGAAACCCAAGGAGGGGTTGGGTTCTACTCAACGGCACATAACAACAACAATAACAACCTAGTTTCAACATTGCATCATCCATATTTATTACTGACCCATTAGTACTGCCTTATGTAGGAATGCAGTTTGGTTTCTCAGCCATGTCACAAGCTCTTCTGAAAGGCAGAGATCAAGTCTTTTTCCTTATGTATCCCCAGCTCAGAGTGGCTGGCATATTGCCAGCACTCAATTTTTGTTAACTGATAGGTTCACTATGAGGGGGACTTTGTGGGACATTTAGCTCAGGTATAGGCCTAGAGTTTTCCTGTAAATGGCAACTTCAAATATCATGGCCCCTAATTTGTCAGGTTTTTCTTGTAAGTGTTGGTATCAAGGATAATTCGTGGCAGAGAGAACAATATGTTGCAAAACAATACCACGTATTTGTAAGGGTTTTATAGCTTACAGGGCTCCTTCAAGTCCCTCATTCCTTTAATTCTCACAACTTCCCCAAGAGGCAGGCATTATTGGCCGTCTTTTACAAATGAAATCAAGGCCCAGAAAATCCAAATACTTTTTCATGGCCACCAGGTTGTAAAGTGGGAGAGGTGGAACCCATCCCCACTTGATCGCAGGAGTAAAACAGGTCAAACTGCTTTAGAGTCTTTTTCTCAAGTTTTAGGTGGAGGTGAAAGTCAAGGAAGGAGAGCAGGGAAACCTACCCGGGCCTGTCGAGTCTTCCACAGGTCTTGGAGAAGCTTGTGGAGGGCAGATGCCACTGCCTCTGGTGAGAGAGCAGTCAAGAGGGGCTCTCTTTTAAAGACGCTCCTAACTTCATTCTGGTCTGAAAAAATGAGGAAGCTCCTGACCTGGCTGCCCCTACGGAAAGAAACAACCGCAGCTCCCCAGACGTGCCTCGGCCTTGCCACTGATCCCTCTTCTCCTCAAATCCCTTTTCAGCGGTTTGTTAGTGTATTTTCTGCACAGCTATGTACCAGGCACAGTGCTGGGCACTAGGTAACGCACGTTTACGCTTGTTAGACATTTAATAAGTGTCAGGAACTCTGTGAGCTATGTGAGCTACTTGATATCTGTAATCTCATTAGCTCCTGAGAAAAATCCTGAGATGAGGTACTTTTTGTGGTGAGTGGCTATCAAGTTGTTAGCTGCTATTCCAACTCACAGTGACTCCGAGTATGCAGAGCAGAACTGCTCCACAGTTTTCATGGTTGTGACCTTTAGGAAGCAGATCGCCAGCCTGTCTTCCAAGGCGTTTATGGGTGGGTATGGACTGCCAATCTTTTGGCTAGTAGTCAAGCACTTAATTGTCTGCGCCATTCTCCAGAGACTCCTGGGACTTATAATATTCTCATTTCATAGTTGAAGAAAATCAAGCTCAGAGAGGATAGGCGACTTGCCCAGGACACACAGCTATCAAATGGCAGAGCTGGGGTTCCCTTAGAACAAATTCCAGAGTCTGTGGCCTGAACCTTGGTGCAGCCTTGCCTAAGGAACTGCATTCCTCTTCCCTCTCCCATGGGAGCTGGGCTTGACCCAAAGGGCTGAGTCCCTGGGTGGCTGTCTCACCTGGCTCAGGGCCCCAGAGAGAGGGAGCAGAGTCTCCCCCACCACTCAGCTCAGGCCTGCTCTCACAAACAGACCCCAGGGTCTGCTGCAGGACTGAGTAGAGGCTGGCCAGCTGCGCCTGGGCGTGGTGCCCGGGCTGCTGCTCTGCAGCCAGCGCCTCCAGCTGGCTCTCCATGCTTCGCAGTCGCAGCTGGAGTTGGGCTCCCTTGGCTTCCTGGGCCCACAGGGAAGCTCGCAGCTGCTGCTCGGTGACCCGGGATGCCTCCAGCTCCTCCAGCAGTTGTGCTTCCTGGGCCAGAAAGTCGGCCTCCTTTTCCTTCACTTCTTGCCTCAGTAATTCCACCTGCCAGGGAGGACGGGAAGATGTGTAGTCACTCTGAGCAGGGAGGGGTTACCTTTTCCCCCAGGCCGGACCCCACTTGTTCCCTGTGCAAACCTTGATCAGGGCTGGAGGGATTGCAGCAGGCTCGGCTTTCCAGCAGATAGGAAGGGCTCTAAAGGAGTATTACCACCGATTTGACACCTGCTAGGTAGATGCCTACCTACTGACTGGTCTTCCCCTGACTCCTAACACATGGGCTGAGGCAAATATGCTCTGAAACCTAACACTGACCAGACTAATAATGGCACCATTTACTGAATGCTTGCTGTGTTCCTGACTCTTCAGATCCACCATCTCATTGTTTCTTCACATTCCTAGAAGGGTTAGGATTATCATCCCTATTTTATGGATGAAGAAAGTGATACTCACACAGCTGGGAAGCAGTAGAGCTGGGAGGCAAACAGGACTGTCTAACAACCAGACCTGTGTCCTTAACTGTTGCATCCTACTGTCTAGCTCTTGCTCTCCTCTCCTCCTCCTCCCAACTCCATCTTTCTTCTGTACCCAACGACTGGGGTCCTGCTACGAGTAGACTGAGGCCCTGATAAGTCCATTCATTGTTCCCTCCTTGATCTGGCATAGTTACTTGTTTGCTCAATTCCTCCTGCAGCATCTTGCCAATCAGACTAAGTGCACATAGATGTGACTGTGCATGAAGCAGGCCCACATGTGCCCTCCCCTTTTGGGCACTATCTTCTGGGTTGTCAAGTTCCCAATGTCAAAGGGCCATTCTCATTTCTGGGTCAAGTTCCCAAGCCTCCATCCTGCCCAGTCTTGGCTGGTCCCTCCTGCCAGGGCTACTGAGGTCCAGCCTACTCCGTAATACAGAACAAGACAAGGGGCCCACGAGAGGACTCTGAGCAATCACTCTACCACTTCAAGGACAGGCTTCCACCAAGGGAGCAGGGCTCATAACCAGGGTGGGAAGTACCTGGGCACTGAGCTCTTTCTGCCCTCCCTGGGCCTCCTGCATGTCCTGGCGCAAGGAGCTTAGCTCTTGTCGTTGAGCAGAGTCAGCTTCTTGCAAGACAAGGAGTCTCTGTTCCTTTTCCACCAGTGATTGGGTCAGGCTAAAACGAGAGGGGTCAGAGGGCTGAGCCATTCTCTCAGGGAATGAAGAGCTACCTTTTCCTCTGTTTCCTAAACAAAACATCAGTAATTCAGACAGAAATAGGAATGATAATGATTATAGTAACAATAACATCATCTATTGAATGCCAAGCACTGCCCTAGATGCTTTATGCACATGACACTTCATTTTAATGACACGACTTACTCTTCTCTGCCAAATTCCAGATAGATCTATACAAGTATCCCAAACTCAACATGTCCAAAACTTCCCATCCCCTTTGCACATCCCCTCGTCCCCAATCATCTTCTATTGTGTTTCCTAGCTCAGTGAATGGCAACTCTACCCACCCAGTGCCCCAAGCTAGAAACCTTGGCCATATCACAGTTCTTCCTTCATTCCGTGCACATCCAATCTATGATTAAATAGAATTGATTCTAATTCCCTTAATGTCCCTGAAGCCCATCTTCCCCTCCCCTTCCCCACTACCCTAACCCTGGTTTAGCCTTAGCATCTTCTATCTGGACCCTCCTAACTTGTCCTCCTGACTCCAATTTCATTATCAAAGGGATTGGTCCTTTTTCAAACTCCTATACCACTGAGAATATGTGCTGCTCCTCATTCTGAATGGTTTCACATCATTCCTGACATTTCATGCCATTATTATCCCTCTAACACATCATAAATTGGTTGTTAATCTCCCTGCTTAAAATCCTCCAATGGTTTCCCACCAGGCTTCAACTGCAAACTCTTTGCTGTGGCCTATGAATCTTGAACGATAAGGCACTAGTCTGGCTTGTGCCACTCTCTCCTCATGCATCATGCTTCAGTCACGTCACACTCTCAGTGGAACCAGATACCCAAGCTTTCATCTGCCTTAGGGCCTTTGCAAATGAGTGGCTCCATTTCACTCTCAGTGCTCAGTTTAAATGCAACCTCCTAAGAAAGGCCTGCCCTACCTACCTACCTAAAGTAGGTCTCCTCTCGCATTTCTATTTCAGCATCTTGTTTCTTTCCATCCGAACCATGTATTATAATCTGTAATCATTTACTTAGGGGATTATTTATCAATGTCTTCCCCACAAACCTATACACTTCATTGAGGCAGGAACCGCACTGCGTCTCCAGCTCCTGGCACAGTGCCTGGTGCATAACACGTGCTCTCTAAATATTTATTAAATGAATGCTGTGTGAGCCGAGAAGATAAGGACCATCCTCTCCACACTGCTACCAATACAGATCAGATCTAGAGAGAAATGCTCAAGAAATTCCTGCTAGGTGATCTGAGTAAAGAAGGGTCAACTTCATGGTGATCACTATGGACAAATGGGCAAAAGCCAACCCTATGGCCTGTCTAGCTTACCTGGCTTTCTCTCTTTCTAGCTCCTTCTGAATTCTGTTGTATTCTTGGGCCTCTCTTAGCTTCTCCTGAACCTCCTGCTCCATCAGTCTCCAGGACTCATCCTTGGCAACAAGCTGAGACTTCAAGCCCTCTACCTGGAAAATTAAGGGCACTAAGATCAAGATAGCAGGGTAGGGACCGGTGGAGGAGTACTCCTACCTAAGGCTTTAGGGCCTTTCAAGGCTTCCACAGTCACTGGCCCAATTCTAATGCTTTGGAGTCTATTGTTCTGGTTGTCCTTAGCCACCCCCTTTTGCAACATCATCCAGCCTAGACATCCATCTCCCAGCCCTGCATATGCTGTATAAAGGCAGGCCTAAATGAAAATCTTGGCTGAATTTATCTACACACAAAGGCAAAGTGATGAGCAAGTATTTGATGATCAATATGTATTTGTTTAAATAAAAAATCAGTGCAACATGAATACAGGATTCTGAGAAAGGGAATCAATCTGAATAAGGAAATGTAATCTAGTACATAAAAAGATGGGATTTATAGAAAGGACAGGAAAAACAACTGAAGCTGGGGCTGCCTGAGAGAACCTACACTACAGAGAAGGAGATCACTATTGACGGGCTCTTAGCACCCTTCAACTCTCCACTCAGTACTGTGGCGTCCCCTCCCCTCCCAAGCTCAGGCCACGGGGTATGGCTGCTCGACAGCAGGGGGTGGAGAACATGGTCGTTCTGGGAAGGACTGTGGGGAGAGATGGAAAGGAGGAAACCTGCTTCTGCAGGTCCGTCTTATCCTGCAGCAGGGTGCTGCCCTCTGCTTGGAAGGCAGCAAGGTCATCTCTGCGTCGCTGAGCTGCCTCCTCCAGTTCCCGTTGGGCCTCCTGGAGCTGGGTCTGTAGCATCCCACTGGTCTCCTGCAGAGGTGGAGATGTCAGTGAGCAGAGAAAGGCTTCTCCTGGGGCCTTGGCATTGAAATCCTTGGTGTATAAATACTGGCCATATAGGTGGGCTGGCAAAAGTTGAGGAAAGACTCAGCAACCTACATTGTTTCCATGATGCCCTTTCCCCTCAAAAGCCCTCAATTCCTGGCCTCCCAGTCCCTTTCCTCTCTCACTAAGAGCGCTGGCACATCAGGCGTTCTCGGTCAGAGGCCTTGTGTTGGTAGCAGTCTCTCACCCAGACCATCGCAACAGCCTCCTGATCATATCCTTACTTCCATCTGATGCCACCCCCATCATATACTAGAAACACACACACACACACAGAGCAGCTAAATTATTTAAAAACTACGTATTAAAACATGTTCAACCCCTGACTTTAAATAATACTAGCCTACAGTTTCCCACTGCCCTTAGAACAAATTCCAAGCACCAATCTGACTGTTAAAGGACTCCTGCCTACTTCTCCCCTCAATTTACCACATCCAACCACACTGGACTCCTTTCTGTTCTTGAACTCGCCAAGCCCTTCTGCTTGTCCCAGGGCCCTCATGATGGCTATCCTCTGCCTAAAGTATCTTTCAAATGGCTAGCTTCTGCCTTTCTTAAAAAATGGCTTTGTTGAGATGTAATTCACATACCATATAATTCACCTATTTAAAGTATACAACTCAATGGTTTAAATATATTCAGAGTTGTACAACCCTCATCACAGTTAATTTTAGGACATTTTTATTACTCCAAAAAGAAACCCCACACCTCTTTTGCAGTCAATCTTCATTTTCCCTCCACCCCAGCCCTAAACCAAAAACCAAACCCACAGCTGTCAAGTAGATTCTGACTCATACTGACCCTACAGGACAGAGAAGAACTGCTCCATAGAGTTTCCAACACTCTAAGTCTTTATGGAAGCAGACTGTCTCATCTTTCTCCCATGGAGCGGCTAGTGAGTTCAAACTACTGACCTTTTGGTTAACAGCCAAATGCTTTAACCACTGCACCACCAGAGCTCCTTCCTCAAGCCCTAAACCAAAACCAAACTCACTGCCATTGAGTCAGTTCGACTCATATTAACCCCTCCTTGGGTTTCCAAGGCGGTATCTCTATGGAAATAGATTGCCCAGTCTTCCTTCCAAGGAGTGGCTGGTGGATTTGAACCACCAGCCTTCTGGGTAGCAGTCAAATGCCTTAGGCACTACGCCACCAGGGCTCCCCCACAAGTCCTAAGTAACCACTAATCTACTTTGTACCTCTATATTGCTGTTATTGTTAGGTGCTTTCAAGTCAGTTCCAACTCATAGTGACCCCATCCACAACAGAACAAAACACTGCTGGTCTTGTGCAGTCCTTACAATCGTTGCTGTGTTTGGGCCCCTTGTTGTAGCCACTGTGTCAATCCATCTTGTTGAGGGTCTTCCTCTTTTTCACTGACCCTCTACTTTATCAACTATGATGTCCTTCTCCAGAGACTGGTCACTCCTAACAGTATGTCCAAAGTATGGAAGATGAAGTCTCATCATCCTCCCTTCTAAGGAGGTCTCAAAATCTCTGGTGTCACTATAGATTTCCCATCATGGACATGCCCTATAAATGGATTCATATAACATGTGGTCTTTTGTGCCCGGTTTCTTTTACCTAGAGCAGTATTTTCTAGCTTCAATTCATGTTGTAGTATGTGGATGGCTTTTTTCTTAACCTTCAAGTCTCAGCTCAAATGTCCCTTTCTCAATGAGGCCTTCTCTGACCATCTTGTCCAAAGTGGCTTGTTTGGAATCATTCTCAATGATATTATCTCAGTTGTTTCCTTCACAGCACTTATTACAGCCTGAAATTACTTAATTTATTTTGGACCTATTTTTTTCTTTCTCTGTTTCTGCCACTAGAATGAAAGTTCCCTGAGAGCAGACCTTTATATACTTACTATGGGTCAACACCTAGCATAGGGCCCATAAGTGCCAAACATAAGTGCCAAACAACTGTCACTGTTGAATGGGCAAATGAGTGCTCCTTTTCTTCCCTGCCAGGGCCATGCTCCATACCTGCTCCTTTAGCTTCTGAACCTTCATGTCCTGCCTCAGTTGTTCCAGTTGTTGGCTTGCATCTGCTAGCTCCTTCTGGGTCTGCAGTAGTGTCTCCAGGAGAGACACTCTCTCCTTCTCTGTTTCAAGCTGCATCTGCGGAGGGGCAGGAAGGGCAAGGGCTTGCTGGGTCAGGGTTATCATGTTCACCCATGAACACCCTGCAGCTGGTCTAGGGCTCTTTAGGCAAATGGAGTGGTGCCTGAAGGTGAAGGAAGGTCTGAACCCACTGGTGCAGAACCAGGAAGTGCAAAGAGTGTCACCCAGTTGTCAAGCTGACAGGATGTGGTAAATGTGAGCCCTCCCTCAGGAAGTAGGACATGCAGCGGACTCTGCAACTAATGTGCCCATCACCCTGCTTGCTGGTTGCACAGCGGGCAGCTGTACCCTCCTCCGGGAGCCCTTCTGCCATACCACTCTTGGAAGTGGAAAAAGAAGGGTCCCCTTAAAGGTCAGAGGATCACAGACTGGACATGCAGCTCCAACTCTCAGCGCTCCCCACCTGGCACAGAGCACTCTCAGCCTGGGCCCGTTCTTCCTCCTTCTGCACCCGGATGGCTTCGGTTTCTGCCTGCTGCTCCCTCAGCCTCACTTCCAGCTCCATTTTTTCCCTCTTTAGGCCTTCCACAGCCTTACCCAGCTCCTGCTGGTACCAGGAGCGCTCTTTCTCCTGGCCACATGAAGGAAACACTTGTTAGAACCAGAAGTGTAAGATGAGGCAAAGGAAAACTGGATTGGAATAGTTGTGTGAACTTGATACATCTCATCTGCAAAGTGAAGCTAATAATCCTTGTCTTATCTATCTTACCAGATTTTATAAGAATCAAATGATATTTATAAAAAATGAAATGATATAATTAATGTAGATTGTTGTTGTTGTTATATGCCGTCAAGTCGGACCCGACTCATAGCGACCCCTCCTTGGGTTTCTGAGGCAGTATCACTACAGAAGTAGATTGCCCCATCTTCCTTCCGAGGAGTGGCTGGTGGGTTTGAACCACCAGCCTTCTGATTAGCAGTCAAGTGCCTTAGCCACTATGCTACTAGAGCTCCCAATAAATGTAGAAGTGCTTTCTAAAGTACAATTAGAGCTCTGTTGTAGTGGTTAAGGCATCTGGCTGCTAACCAGAAGGCCAGTGGTTCAAATCCACCAGATGCTCTGCGTAAGGAAGATAGGGTAATCTACTTCCATAAAGATTTACAGCCTTGGAAACCCCAATGGTGGTCGCTATGAGTCGAATCAACTCAAAGGCAGTGAGTTTGGTTTTAAAATGCAAACACCCTTCCTTAAGCCACGAACATCCGTTATTTTTCAAGCAACCCCATCATGATCGACGGCTGTAACAATGAACTGAGGCAGCAAACCCTGGCTCTCTGCTGCCCACGCACCTCCACTCAAAGCTGCAGAGCTGGCCTCCTAAAACACCTAGCTAAGCTAGTGTGGGGCCCTGAGTGGTGCAAAGAGTTAACGTCCTTGGCCATTAACCAAAGGATGGAAGATTCAAGTCCACCCAGAGGTGCCTAGAAGAAAGGCTTAAAGATCTACCCATCCACCCCTCAAAAAATCAACCATTGGAAGCCCTACAGAGCATGATTCTACTTTGACACACACAGGCTCACCATGAGTTGGAATCAACTTGATGGCAACTAAAGCCTATAGGTAGATTGTCTCTTAACACTATTCAAGGGCCTTAAGAAAGGGGGACCCTGGTTCTCCCAGAGGTCCACCAGTGACCAAAGCCTTCCCTCACCTCCCAGACTAGTCCAGGTCCCTCCATTAGAGGCTCTCAGGACTACGGTTAAGAGCTTGGGCTCTGGAGTCAGGCTGCCTAGGTCAGTCTTTAATCCACCAGTACCACTGTGATCTCAGTTTCTAACATCTCTGTGCCTGTTTTCTCATCTATGAAAATGGGATGATAGCATCCTCCTAGGGTTGTACTAAGGAATGAGATAATACTTGGACCAAGAGTCAGTGTTCAGCAGAGATAGCATTCAGTGTATAAGTGATCCTCATCATCACATTAGTATTCCCCTGAACCTTTCCTTTAAAATGCATATGAATCTGTAGTTGTGTATTTATTTAACGGCATGCCTCTAGTGCTTCACCCCTTTCTACCATCGTCCTGTGCAGCCTTCCGCCACTTACGACACTCTGACTGCACTGGGCTCCTTTTGGTTCCTTGAGCACACTAAGCTCTTTCATACCACCTGGAACACTTCCCTGCTTCTATTCCATTGCTCCTTCCATCTCAGCTTAACTGACACTTTTTTGGACAGGCCTTCCCCAAACATGCAATCTCAATAAATCTCCCTTGTTATTCTTTCTTATAAACACCCAGTTCCTTTTCTTTGCAGGATTTTTATAATTTATAATCATTTACTCATTTAATACCTGTCTTTTCCCAAAACTTGAAGCTCCATAAGAAGAACTATGTCTGGGTTGCTCTCACTATATCAACCCCCAGCACTATGCTGGCACACCAACACAGCTTAAACGAATCAGTGAATAGCTTTGCTGTTGTTGCTGTCAATGTTAATTCTGACTCACAGCAACCCCATGTAACAGAACAGAACTGCACCAGAGTTTTCTTGGCTGTAATCTTTATGGGAAGCAGATTGCCAGGTCTTTCTCCTGTGGAGTTGCTGGGTGGGTTTGAACCACCAACCTTTCGGTTAGCAGCCAAGCATTTAAATTGTACCACCAGGGCTCCTATGAATAAGCTACCAGATTGTGAAGACACCTAAGAACAACAATCTGTAACACCACAGTTATGTAACATTTATGAATGTCACATCTTATACCCTAATTCAAAAAGCCCACTAAAAAGATGGGAAAGGAGTTCAGATTTTATTCTTATAAATAGCAATATCTGGACCCAGAGTCAGCAGGTAGAGTACCCACTTAAGGGAGGCCATAAGCCATAGCCAAACACCTTGAGGGAGTGAGTCATTGGGCCCACAGGCTTGGGACCATGGTCGTAGAGAATATCAAGCTCAGTTGGCATAACATGCACACAAAAAACATTGTTTTACCTCCTACTCTGGTAAATAGAGACTGAGGTCTTAAAAGCCTGCGAGTGGCCATCTAAGATGCAACAATTGGTCTCTCCTCATCCATGGAAACAATTAGGCCAAAGAACTAGTCGACCATGTGAACCTCAGTCAACATGATCCTGAGACCAGAAGAATTAGATGGTGCCTGGCTACCACTGCAACCACACAGAAAGGGATCAAAACAGGAGATCCTAGATAGCATGGGAGAAAAATGTGGAGCAAAATTCAAAATCATAAAAAAGACCAGGCTTATGAGTCTGGTAGATACTGGTGAAACTCCTGAGACTATAGCTCCTAGTCATCCTTTAGGCCTGGAAATGAACTCTCACTCCTATGGCTTCCAGCCAAGTAATAACAGACAAGCCTACAGAAGGTGAACAACTATACCAGGTAGACACACTCCTTAGAAGAGTTAACCATAGGAGATCAGAAGGGCAGCATTTGCATAGGGAGAAAGCTCAGGGGGCAGGAATGTATAGGAAAGAAGGACACAGGGAAGAGGTAACCACAGGGAGGAAATGGGAAGAGAACTGTTACATTATGGGGACTGTGGTCAATGTCATGAAACAAAATGTGTATGAACTGCCTAATAGAAAAAGAATTTGCTCTGTAAACTTTCACCCAAAATCACAATAAAAATGGAAATAAAGGGAGGACGTGTTTGCCTCTCCTACCACCCAGCCACATCTGCCACCTACCCACTTCTCCTGGAGCCGGTGTCCCTCCTCCTCATGGGCTGCCTTCTGCTGCTGCAGGGCAATCTGTCCCTCTTGCTCAGCCCGGGCCAGCTGTCTGGCTGCTGCATCCCGCTCTTGCTCTGCCCGACTCCGTTCAGTGTCCAGTTCCAGCTTCAGGCACCTCACTTCCCCTAAGATGCCAAGAACAGGATCAGGTCTCTGAGCCCTTGCCCCACTCTTGTCTAATAACATTCTTCCCTTCCCCACCTCATGAGCTTTCAACACTCCTGTAGAATGGAGTGGGCCCCATTCCAGTCGGGTTCTCACCTTGGATCACGTCCTTGGCTTGAGTGACAGTTTGAATCTGGACCTCCAGCTGCCCTTTGGTGACCTCTATCAGAGAATTTTGTTGTTGAGCCTCAAAAAGACTGCTCTCCAGTAACTCCTTGGCTGAGCTGTGAGGTTCAGGAATCAGGAAGAGCTCTCAGCCTTCAAGCTCCTTGTTGGGCGTTGAGTCAATTTTCAGGTCATAGGAATCCCATGGGAGAGGACAGAACTGCCCATCGGTTTTCTAGGCTATAATCTTTACCAGAGCAGATTACCAGGTCTTTCTTCCATGGAGGGCTACGTGGATTCTAACCTTTCAGTTAGCAGTTGAGCACTTAACCATTGTGCCCCCAGGGTTTCTTTCACCCACTGCCATCAAGTCAATTCTGATGCACAGTGATCCTTTACAACTGCCCCACAAGGTTTCTATGGCTGTAAATCTTTACAGAAGCAGACGATTTGATTTCATCTTTCTCCTGAGGAAAGGCTGGTGGGTTGGAACCACCGATCTTTTGGTCAACAGCCTTACAGGGGCCCTTAGCCTTCACTAAAGAGTTGGATTTTAAGTACTAACTACCTGGGGGATGTTAGCAGGGCAACTACCAACTTGTACTCTTTTAGAACTCAACCACACAGGGCAGGGAGCTTGGTGTGGCTACTCCTTGCCTTGCAAAACTGGCTCTTCAGTTACTGAACTGGGTCTAGGCCCTATCTGAAGGAGGTCTAGTGGCATAGTGCCTAAGGCATTTGACTGCTAACCAGAAGGTTGGTGATTCAAACCCACCAGCCACTCTGCGGAAGACTGGGCCATCTACTTCTGTAAAGATTTACCACCTCAGAAATCCAAAGGGGGTTGCTATGAGTCAGAATTGACTCAATGGCAGTGAGTTTGCTTTTTTTTTTTTCTCCTGAGGCCCTACCTGAGCGCAAGTAGTTGCTCAGAGAGGCCCTGCCGGTCCCGCTCCACAGCTTGCAGCCGCACCTCTAGAGCCGCCTTCTCTCTTACTAGGGCCTCCTTCTCCTGGACTGCCCTGGCCAGCACTTCTTCTTGTCGCCTTGCCTCCTGCTGCAGCTGCTCCAGCTGAGCTGTGGCTGCCTCCCGCTGGTGGCATGCCTGAAGGGAAGAAAGTGGTGAGACTCGGGATGTTTCCTGGAGCTACGACCCCCAGGTTAGAGCCATCAGCTCTCCAGATTCCGAGCCCAGCTGTGAAGCTGTGAGCCCTGAGCACTACTCACCCCACTCAATTTATCTACTTCCCTGATCGACTCATACAGCATCCAGCCCAGGAAGCAGGATTTTCTGAGCCAAGACCTTACACTAGGGATTGCAGGAGACCTGCCCCTAAGGTGCTTTTAGGCTTATGGAGTAAGATACACACATAATACCAGAAAGAAAGTGATCAGTACCCAGAGAAAGAGACTCTGAGAAGAGACATAACATACAATTATCAGGATACTATGAGGTTTGGTAGAGGAGCCAGGTGACTTTTGAACCTACTCATTAGTTAACAACAACAACAAAAACGTAGAGTTCCTGCTAAGTGCTAGGCACTGTGCTAAAAGCTGGAGGAAGAAAAACAAGCAAGACATAACCCTGCCTTCAAGGAGTTTTGGGTCTAATGGTGGAGCTCTGGTAGCATAGTGCCTAAGGCACTTGACTACTAACCAGAAGACTGGCGGTTCAAACCCACCAGCCACTCCTTGGAAGGAAGGGCGGGCAATCTACTTCCACAGTGATACCGCCTCGGAAACCCAAGGAGGGGGCGCTATGAGTCAGCGCCGACTCCATGGCACATAACAACAACAACAAGACAAACTATGTGACCTTCTGACAAACCTAACATTTGACAAAATGTACCTAACTATCCTGCTGTCCTGATTTACATACAAATTTGACTTAAAGATAGGCTTAGGAAGGAACTTGTTCATAATCCAGGGACTGCCTGTACATTTCATCTTTGAAAAAATAGGAAGATTATACCCCAAATGAGTAGCACAGGTCATTTCTAGGAAGTAAGATTTTCCTTCTGGAACCATCTCTGTAGTGTTCTGATTTTGCATAATGAGCATGTATTATATCCTGAGAGGATGGCGTTAGTTCATTTGTCTTCTCACCTCACTCAGTTTCCCTTGAATTTCTTCCTTCTCTTCTTGGATGCCCCTGAGATCTCCCTGCAGCTCAGCCCCAGTCTCCTCTGCTTTCTGCAGCTGTGCCTCCAGGTGAATCTTCTGTTCCCACAGGACTTCCCTTTTTTTCTCCGCCTCTGCCAGGTCCATCTGCAAAGCATTTCTTGCCTGCTCTGCAGCCTCCATTCTGCTGCACGCAGACTGGTTCTCTTGTTCTAACTACTGGCCCAAAAGGGAAAGGGGTAAAGGACATCAAAGATAAATGGTTACAGTTTAGGAATCAGGTGCTGAGGCTAAAATCCTAGTGAGATTTGAGTCTATTCTTCAAAGATGAACACAAGACTGCTTGTAAGAGAGGGGAGAACTCATTCATTTGAATTAGTGCTGTACTAGTTATAGATGCAGGAGCTCTGGTAGCATAGTGCCTAAGGCACTTGACTGCTAACCAGAAGGCTGGCGGTTCAAACCCACCAGCCACTCCTTGGAAGGAAGGTTGGGCAATCTACTTCCATAGTGATACTGCCTCAGCAATCCAAGGAGGGGTCACCGTGAGTCGGGTCCTACTTGACGTCACATAACAACAACAAAGTTATAGATGCTGGATGCTGAGGGAAAAAGCCTCCTTTCAAAGAACTTGGTAAGATGTAACACAGAAGGACACTTCTGGGGCTCAAGGAAGCAGGGGTATGTTCAATTGTAACCTAGAAGAAGATTCTTTAAGACTTTGGCTCTGTGGCAGGTCTTTTTCTGGTCATGGCTATTACACCACAGGATTAAAATCGTCCTCCTTCCAGAAGACATGGGGCGCCTTCCTAGTCCTGTTGATTTACCCTAAAGTCCAAAGGTGTGAAAAGGGACTGTTTTAAATGGCTAAGGTCAAGCCTAGGAGCCCTGGTGGCACAAGTGGTTAAGTGTTTAGGTGCCAACCAAAAAGTTGGCAGTTCAAACCCACCAGCTGCCCCTGAAAGATGTAGTGGTCTGCTTCCATAAAGATTTACAACTGTGGAAACCCTATAGTGCAGTACTACTCTGTGCTTACAGGGTTGTATGAGTTAGAATTTGACTCCACAGCAATGGGTCTGGTTTTGGATTAAGGTCAATCCTTCTAGTCTTTGCTCTGCTCTGCATTGTGAATGTCCCTTTTGCTCATTTCAGGGCTCCGTCTGGGCGTGGATCTGTCTTGGACTGATTCATCTGGGGACACTTTCCTGTCACGGACACCAGCTTCAGCTATCATTGGCTTGCCCTCAATCAGGGCTCAGCCCTAACCCAGGGATCAGAAAAATCATTGCTTACCTGGAGAAGCTGCTGGTTCAGTCCAACTTTATCTAAGGCCAAAGCCTCATTTAAGGCACTGAGCTTGACAGCTGTAGCCTGAAGATCAGCTACCTCTGCCTTCAGGCTGTTCTCAGAACTCGACAGCTCTGCAATGGACTGTTCTGCCTAAAAACAAAGAGGGTTAAAGAGTCTCCAATTTCCAGTTTGGCTTCTCACCTCACCACTCACATCCCCAACACCTGCTGCGGTCTTTTGTACAAAGATCAGTTTACACTCATTCCCTCCTAAGCAAGTGTTCCTTTCATTCACTGATTGACAAGCAGGACAGTAGCTCACAGTATACAGGCATAGACACAGGATATATACATACAACTAAAATTATAAAGACTCTATAGAAAATGTAAGCACAAAGTGGTTTGGAACTCAAAGAAGGCATTAATTCAGTCTAGGAGAGTCAAAAACATTTGGCAAACAAGTTGACGAAATGGGTGTTGAGGGATGAGGAAGTGTGCTAGCTGAAGAGGGAGGACAGAGGCAGTCCAGGCAAAGGGAAAAGTATATACAAAGTATTAAACTTACTGCTGTTGAGTCAGATCCCACTCATAGCAACCCCTCCTTGGGTTTCCCAGGCCCTATCACTACAGAAGTAGATTGCCCAATCTTCTCTCTGAGGAGTGGCTGGTGGGTTTGAACCGCCAGCCTTCTGGTTAGCAGTCAAATGCCTTAGGCACTATGCCACCAGAGCTCCTATACAAAGTATTAAAGTCAAGAAGAAAATAATGGTGGAACTGAAAATGCAGTTAGTGTTGTGAGCAGGAGCAAGGAAGAAAGGCCTGGAGATCGACTCTCAGAAATCAGCCAGTGAAAACTCTATGGATCACAATGGTCCAATCCACAACTGATGATGGGGATGGGGCGGGACCTGGCAGTGCTTCAGTGCACTGTGCATGGGGTCAACAGGAGTTTGGGAACAACTGTACGGCAGGTAACAACAACAACAGCAGGAGCAAAGATACATGAAAAGTTAGAGTAGGCAATCTGGAGCAGAAGAGGAAGCTAGAAACAGTTTGGGGCAGATGGCAATAGGTTTTGAAGGTGGCACCGAGGAGTCTGGCAGTCACTGAATGGTTTTAAGAAAGAAATCGACATAACCAGATTTATATGTTTAAAAATTCTAATTCCAATACAGAGTACGCTGGGAGGGAGAAAATCCAGAAACAAAGACCACTAAGTGAGGTAAGAAATACCAAGGGTCATGGCTTGAAAGGTGAGGAATGAGGCAGGCTGTACGCCCTTTACCTAGGAACACATCTTTTGAGGCCACCCATCTAGCACCAGAGGGGAGGAGGCCTACGCACCCTAGCCAGCACTGCAGTCACTTCTGCTTGCTCTTGCCTCAGTAACTCCCCTTCCAGACGACTCGACTCCAGGGCTTCCCGAAGAGTGATCAGTTCACTGAGGGATTCCGACTGTTTGACTTCCAGGCCCGCCAGCATCTCCTGACTAAAATGGAAGGAGAGGGGGCTAGAGGAATCCTTGGGAGTGGCCACCCCAAAAGGTAACAGAAATATAATTACCTCTGCAAGGCAAAAAATGAAGAAGGAAAAAAACCTGAAAAAGAAACATCTCCAAGACACAGAGTTAAGTGAAAAAAAAAAAGCAAGGTGCAGAACAGTACATATAGTATGCTATCTTTTATGCAAGAAACTGGGGAGAATAAGAATAGAAGCTTATATTTGCAGAAAGCAGCACTGAACAAGAAATTAATTAAAATGGTTATCTCCCTGAGGAGGGGATATGGGATAAAGGAGGCAGAGGTGGGAGTAAGATTTCTCTATGTGTAACTTTTTGTATAGTTTTGACTTTTGAACCATATAAATGCATTATTGCTTTAAAAAATAAAATTTTTAAAACATACGAATTGTCTCTGTGGATTGTCAGTCTTTCCCATTGGTACCTGGAAGATCATTCTGAGCACAAGTCATGACCTTATGGTGTCCTGAAAGATTCCGTGATTCACACCGCCTGGGTACAAGGGGCTAGGATGGAGGAAATACAGCCCCTGCTACCAGGTACTGCAGACCAAGCATAGGCCAGGTTCTGTGCTGGCATTCTGCAAACACTGCTTGAATCTTCCCTATAATTCTTCAAGGTAAGAATTATCATTCCAATTTTATAAATCTGTCCAAGTGACAGAGTCATAATTTAAACCAAGTGTTTGCCTGGCTCTAAAGCCTTTGCTCTTTCCATGACATCATAGAGGGAATTCACAGACTAGCTGGGAAAATAATTCAAAATTAAGGTCCCCCATAGTCACAGAGGACATCAAGCTCAATTGGCATAACATACTACACAAAACATTGTTCCACCTCCCACTCCTACTGTTCCACCTCCTCCTACTACTATGGCGAGTAGTGACTGGGATCTTAAAAGCTAGCAAGCTGCCATCTAGATGCAA